TAATCATATCTCATGGTTTGGGCATATTAACCCCTTTCCTCAGGGTTTGTTTTATTCAGGGGCACCCTATATTAGATTCTTAGGCTTTTAGGTGTGTGTCTAATCTCATGAGAATTTGCATTTTATTATATATTCCATATTAGTACTTAATTTATTTTATTACTTCATTTCTTCTTTGATTTGTGGCCTCATCAGAACTGTGCACTAAGTAATATCCTGTCTCTTATTTTCTGACACGTTTGTTCAAAACATGTAAGGTATAATTCTACGAAAAATAAGCGTTGTCCGTAAATTACTGGGAAAATACCCTTTTTCAGGTTCCTTGATGTCATCCATCATTACCAGCGTTGAACTCAACCACACTGTGGCATTCATTGGAACATCAAGGGGAAAGCTTTTGAAAGTAAGTAGTGTTCAGAACGTCAATTCATCAGTTTGTATACTTATGAAGTAACATGATGACTCTCTATGGCCAAACAATTTCAGTAACCGTAAAATGAGGAAAAAAAACAAGAACACAAGCAAGCCGTTCGTTTCAATTCCAGGACAAGCACTCTGTTTACGAGTATTTTATAAGATACGTGCTTTTAACTTTAAGATGATGTAATGTAGCAAATTACAAAGTTTGTTTTAATATTCATGTTCAACTTTGCATGTAACTTTTAATTAAACTTCGGATTTTGACCTTACTCTATGCTGAGTGAAGTTGTACTGTCTTCTTTTGACTATATCCAAACCTCTGACCTGTATTTCAGACACAAAGTGATATGAAAAGCTGCACCATTTCATTCTCAAGCCTGGCCATTTTCTGATTGTTAAGGAATTGGATTATAATGTCATAAACAGTTATATTAATCAAACACCTGTTATTTTTTAACAATACTTTAAACACCTTAGGAATTTATTTGTTGATGAAAAGGTCCACATTAAAAGTAACGCAACAGCCAGAATGTATGAGAGAGTGCCTCTAGATACCAGCCCAGTACTGACAGATGTCAAGATAAACGACGCAACAAGAGAGATGCATTTACTCACTGAACAAAAGGTATTCTTTGTTCAAAAGGAAGTACCTCAATTTTGCAAGTTTCAAACCTAAAAGTCCTACTTGTAATTAAATGTGCATCATGGCTGACCACATATATTTGAAACGTTCAAAAATCTTTTCCTGACTAATAGGATGTTATAGTAAAATGTAATTACAATGACGCCATACAATGTGTGGCCCTGAAAGGCCTGCAAAAAGGCGTTAGACAAGGCCAGAGTTACAAAAATCTCTACGAAGCAATATAAGGGGCCAAAACTATAAGGCTTTCCCTCCCCTTTTAATTAATGGTTGTAGTGTGCTAGTTGTGCTTATGTAGCACTGCCAAAAGGCCAATTTAAAGGTTTTACTTCTCCACACAGTTAATCAAGATGCGTGCCGAGAACTGTGATCAGTACATAACCTGTGAGACGTGTATTGGAACTGATGCAGGGAATGATGGAGACCCATACTGTGGATGGTGTACTCTAGAAAGAAAGTTAGTCACAACGGATGACACGATTGTTTATTAATTAGTCGGCTCGTGGGGGTGTTAAACATGGTATAAACGTGCATTTGAAATGATATATACGAGGCTATGTAAAGATTGGCCCTAGTTGCCTTGTACGTGCCCTTTTATCAGTTCAGTTGGGCCCTTCTTTATGGTACTAGCTCTATTGCCCACCCTCTCACTATTTCACGTACATCTGGTAATTGAGTGAATGGACTGGGCCTACAAGTATATCAAGAAGTTTCCAACGCTCGTAGTAGTTCTATGGAGCTGTATCATTCTACACTGTGCACTAAAATAAAGGCAAAAGTTCGTGCTGGTGTACCTTTCAACTGTATCTTCCCACAACTGTAATTCTATGTAACTTCAACTTGTCAAAACTCCATAGGCCTACTTACGGTATGATAAACACTGTGCTAAACGTTTACAAAAGGTCCTTGTACAAAGGGTTACAAAGCTCTTAGTCTTACAGAGGCTTCTAAATTCTTTCCTTCAGATCCTTTAAAGAGATTAACCTATGAGAAAGATGCAGAGGTTGAAAAAAGTTTTCCCTCCACCGTCCATTCCACTCAACTCATAAAAAATGAATAATGCCATACGTTGGCATCCCATCATTGCAGCCTGAGTGCTTCTGAACAACAGAGGGCGCTATCGTGCCTTAACGGGATTGATTTTGGCACTAACATGCCTGAAGACGAAAAAAATGAGTGCATCTTTTGAAGTTGGAGTATAATTATGATTTCGGTATTAACCATTGCAAAATATTTGCACTACAGGTGTATGAACCAATGGTTCCTTTCTTTAGTTACTGTCATCTCATCTAAAGACTAATCACATCTTCTTTTATTTGTAGATGTTCAAGATACTCCGACTGTGACTCCCCGACTGTGTCTACTCGCTGGTTGGCCTACAATGCTGCTCAGTGCATTAATATCACCGATGTAGCTCCTTATGACAGCCTGCCTATCACTGTCACAGAACAACAGGTGAAGAATGTAAAAGCAACTAAACTCAACAAATGACTTGGGTTCCTCTTTGCCTCGCGGAAATGATTTTGACAAAGAGAAACCATTTAATATTCACATGCATTAGATTGCAACACATGACGGGGGATATTGCTTCCCAACAGGCACGATTTATTGAAACACTTGATTTCGGCTTTAAATTTCAATAGTGAACTCATTAAGATTTTATGTTTAAAGACGATTGGACAATTCAATTTTGACGAAATTTGAATTTCAGAAATGAGACAAATTGCGTGCTTATTTATTTCACTTTTTATATTCGGCCCAAAAATCTTCATCCTCTGGTTGAGGCCGAACCAAAACTCTAAGACATAATTTCTTTTGGGTTTTCTTTTAGATCGTGTTAAGTGTACAACAGCTCCCTGCCCTAGCGACTGGCCAGAGTTATGAATGTTACTTCGGGCCATACCGATCTCCTGCTACAAAGACCGGTGATATGCTTACGTGTAGATCTCCACCTAGTGATGGGATACCTGCCATTCAGCAAGGTGGTAAGCCATTAATCATTGCGCAAAAAGGACAAACCAACATATTTTTGTTTATTGGGATTCAATACCGTCAACCGGGGTAACTTTGGCAGGTTAGAATACTGATCGTTTCTGCTTTTCCAAAAACAGAAATTATTTTCATTGTTGATTGGACATATTTGTCATATGAAGTCTTAAGTCTAATCTAGTAGTAGCAAACATCCATTCACTTCTGTTAATTATAAGTTAGAGTTTAATTAAATGCTGCCAAAGTTACCCTGTGGTTCTGGACAGCTTTGGCAGTTTGGAATTTGATGAAAAATCCTTCAGGTCAAATCTCCAGATGTATTTTATGATAAAATTACTTTTATGGAATTATTTGAGAGAATCTGGTATGATTCTCTCGTTGTGAAGATATGACGACTACAACCAAGAGATGTGGCATGTGCCAAGGTTACCCCTTGGTGCCAAAGTTACCTCGGTTTACGGTAATTTTAGCAAGAAGCTTGGAAGATGCTACTCACAAAGGGATCCTTAGCTAATTCTGTAAATCTCACGTTATATTCCGATCTCTCTCTTTCAGATGATGCTGTCGGTGTTGATCTTAGTGTGTTTTCAACGGAAACAATGGTTCGTTTCATCGATATCAAGTTTCACTTTTACAGCTGTTCAGTTCATGCCTCGTAAGTATTTGACTTTAGATGTGCTTTGAAGCTTTCCATGGTGAAGGTGGCAAATTGTTTGCAGTAGCGCCATGCAACGACATCTCTTTTGTAAGTATGTGGGGCTCTGAAAAGAACCGGAAAGTAATGCTATTTGATTTTCTTGTAGTTTTAGTTTCATGAGGAATCTTTTTCATAGTTAAGTTTAAGTTCATCTGTCTGAGCCCATTACACGAAACCTTAAAATGTCTCGCATGAATATAAGGAAGATAGACCCGTCTACCGCATATACGAATTAACATTTAATTGGTTAGTGGTGAACCAACCTGTCTAGAGATAAGTAACATATACATACCGAGTAATGCCGTGAGCAATGCCTGTGAAATGCCGCCATCCCCTTGCCAAGTTGCTTCTTTCCCTGGTAATTCACACAACTTGCGATCGATCATCTTGCGCTTGGACACTTTTTGGAAGGGTTGTCGGTGGTCTTTCATTTAATGTAAATGTAATGCGTACTTCTCATGTTCTGTACGTAGCTTAACATTTACATTTTATTTGTTCTGGTACGTGTTGTCCTTTGATTTCGTACGATAATATTTTCGAAAAATGTTTTAATTTTAAATTCCACAGTTGCATATCCTGTGTTGCTAGTCGCTGGGCCTGTGACTGGTGTGTATTTGACAACAAATGTACTCATGAAAGCTCCACCTGTACTGAGGCAAATGAAATCATCCTTATTGGAAAAAATGTGAGAACATAACAATAATAATTCATTAAATATACGTTTATATATATTGTGATAATGTCGGAAATGAAGGCAGGAAAGTCTAAAAAAGCATTTTAGAGACATTCTTTTCTACTAAATATTATATGATAAGTCCAAAATAAACACTAAATTTAGGGACATGTCCAGAATTTGTGTGTGTGTTCTGTAAAGAAACTCATGTCATAAAGCGCCTCCATTCATATTAATTGAAGTTTAACTTTGAATTTACCAGACTTAATTTTATTAATGTTGTCATTTTCACTAATGATATTTTATTTTCATTCTCGTTAACCCTATAGAATCCAGTCTCAACTACACCAAAGGGACCTGGATCATGTCCACAGCTGCAAGCTCAAAGTGGTGAAGTTCTTCTGCCTAATGGAATCCAGAGGAGTATTACAGTCAGGACTGAAAATCTGCCAGATCCAGCTCAGGTAGAACTATTCTTGGAAAATAAACCACCCCCAAAACGCTATTACAAGGGTTAAAAACTGCGCCAGAAAAGAGCCTAACATTAGGAGGAGATTTAGGTTACTTTTACTCTAATTGCTTAAATGGGGTGTCACTGTATTTTGCGCGGCGTATATTGTATATTTTTCTGAACATGTTGATGAGTGTAAGCTTCACTTCAGACTCCTCCGATCAACTGTTTTGCTTCCATATTAAGATTCTCTCCTTTGGGTTTGTGAGTAGATTTCTAGCTATAGGTGCATCTTAGAGGTTGAGGGGATGCTTCAAAAAGCAGATGCAGAACATCAAGGAAGTAGCATCACATGCGAGCAGAAAGCTGTAAGTATTGTAATAATTCGAGACTGAAACTCTTCTTTAATATATTTAGTGACTGGGATAGTTGGAAATCTTCTACTCTGCATGAATTATATAAGAAAAGTTGTTCTGCTAACTTTCACATATTTAAAGCCAGTCTTTGTTCTAATCAGTACACGTATTTAGCTAACAATAAGCCAGAGCTCGAAGTGAGGTTGACTGTTACTTGGACTGACAAGACTGGTGCAGCACATATCCTTGATGACGTATATGGGTTCAACGGTAAGTTTAACATTGTTAAGTAAAAGCATGTGACTGAATGCGTCTATTGATTGATTAATTGATTGAATGATTGTTTATTTGGATTCAATGTTCCAAAACCTTGTTTGTTAATCTCATGTCCTGTGTTATTAACGGTTTTTGATTGCAATATGTTTAAGTACCTGTGTATCTTGCTTCTTCTGATAGTAACTATCTATAAATGTGAAGTCCAGAAACCGGACTGCAGCCGATGTGTTACAGCCCGCCCAGAGCTTGGATGTCTATGGTGCGATTCCATGCCAGCCTTGAGTGTTTGCAAACTGAATGAAACTTGCACTGGAAATGTAGTGACTTCGTTTAATGGAGTGAACTGCCCAGATCCAGTGCTCAGTGAGGTGGGCTGATATCACAACTCATTTGTAAGATGAAAGGGCCTGTGTATGTAGTACACTGCTCTTTGCATTTTATTGTCATTTATCCTAAAGATTCTACTCGCAGTAATCAGTGGTCCGTGTCGATAAAAAGTGCTGCAACTGATCACCGTGATCATTTCTTCAAAAGATGTGCTGTATTTTCTTCGAGAAGTTGTCTCGCCTGTCTTTCATATTCCCTAGTGTCCATTTCCTTGCTTTTCATCCCTAAACTATGACGAAGGTGTTTCCGCTGGCTGGACCGATTGAAGGCAGTACAGTCCTTACAGTAATAGGCACTGATATCGGTCGACGATTTGGTGACGTCATGGCAGTGATGGTTGGTAGTCAACCCTGTGATCTGGATGGATTAAGCTCCGATTATGTAATTGGAGGAAGGTATTAGAAAGATTCTTTTTTATACAGATTTATCTTTAAATCAACACCCTTTAAATTGCTTGAGTTTAATATTTGACCAAAATGAACGAAAGTCACTTTACGCTTTCTTTCAGTGTTAGTTGCAGAACAAAACCAGAACGTGAAGGAAGTCAGTCTGTCACTTTGACAATCACGGGGGCAGATGGTACACTGCAGCACAGCTCTGGAGTTGTCAACTTTAAGTTCACAGTAAGTATTGTTTTGACTGTGGTAAAGCCTAAAAAAAAAGACCGGAAGGCTTCCGCAAAACACCTTTTCTTCATCTGTGAAATTCTGGAGTAAGTACTCAATTGCTTACGTTTGAAAAATGTTTGTGGTGGGTACTTCAATTTATCAAAATTGATGCAATCCATTTTCCTACCAGAATCCAAGGATTACATCATTTGAACCTCGCCTTGGCCCAGAAGCTGGTTGGACTGCAGTAAGCGTGTATGGCACAGACCTCAACACAGGACGAAATATTGCGGCGTTCATAGGAGAAAAGCCATGCATCATATCATCGTAATTATCATTCTTTTACATATTGTTGACAAAACTAGTGTATGTTTAGAATTAATGTACCCCAGTTCTTCAAAGGATATTATGTTCACAGATTCTATGTCACAGATATGTATCTTTATGAGATTTTCGCTGTGTAATAAGGACAGTGTCATTTTTGTGATTATGCACGCATGTGTCCTCATGAATGCAAGTTTTCAAACTAACAGTGAGGAGTCGGGTTAGCGTGGTGATTCTTTCCTTGCCCTCCACCTCTGCGGTCCAGGTTTGATTCCCAGCTCGGTCCACTTGTGGATTGGGTTTTCAGTCCCAAACTGATTCCGTGGGTTTTACCTAGAATATTCATCCGGAGTTTTCCCCCATCCTCTAAAACTGTAATTGCTTCTCATCTCCTCTCTGTATTTCTTCAGACTTGCCAGCTACAGTACCTAGGGCGCTTTTGAGGAATCTTTGGTGTCATTACCAAAAAAAAAATAACAATAATCTTTTGCAAACAGTGTCCCAAGAGAAGAGGTTTTAGAGTGTACTTCATCCGACGGACAGGCTGGAATGCAGAGTAACTTAAGAATTTCCTTCGATGGTGCGAACAGAGCATCAGATGAGAAGTTTAGTTACACAGAAAACCCTGTCATCACACGGGTTCAGCCACTCAAGAGCATTTATTCGTAAGTCTGTTGCTCTGTAGTTGTAAGTTGCCAAGCTATTTTCAACTACATTTGGTTTTCATGCCTAATCCGCTCCGAGCGGAACAACAAAAGAGGCGTGTTTTGGGTACTCACCACACAGGCGCGCGTTAACAGTGCGTTTGAAGTGGAGCACGCTGAGTACGCGTAACTTATTCCTTAATTAATGTACATGGCCTCTGCGTACACCCAGAACGCGTGCAAGAACCCGCTTGGAAAACGTATTACTACACCTCATAGATATTCACGAGCAACTTGGAGTGCGTCATTATCCACCTTACTGCCGTGCGGTAGTTTTTTTCTTGTAACATAAAAAATATCTCTGGGACCTGCCGCGTAAATATGTAGTCTGTGTCATGTAATCTGTACGGAACCTGTCTGGAGTTGTATCCTAATAACTATTAGAGTAAAGACCCGTAACGTGTGTCAGCACCAGACTATTGAAGCCCTGTTTCTATTCTGCACTCCACTATCATTACATGGAAATTTAACAGCTGAGAAACAACAGTGGCGTCTGTGAGTACAAGTAACGTGAGATTTCTGTTTGAATATTTATGAAGTGTAGTAAACCAAATACAGCATTTATTTCGGGAAAATAGTGGGAATTACTGGTCCCTCGGTGTAGGTAAGTTTGACTACCTCCCGACTATACTATACTATACCATCTGTCTTTCTTTTGCCACTTAGGGTTGCAATTCAACTTGGGGCGGATAATCATCGTTTCCATTTATAGCTTAAAATACAGCAAATCATAAATGATTTTAATATTTCTGCAATAAAACAGGCTTTGTAATTACCCTTTCTACAAGTTTAGGGTTATTTTCGTACATATTAGGGGTGGTCGGACGTTAAACGTGAATGGACAACACCTGGATACCTGTCGAAATCGTCAGATTTACGTTGGGAACAGTCATTTGACATATCGAGGGGTACGTAATATTGCTTGATTTTTTGCCGAATTCTTTTTCAGTCATCCTTTCAATCGATTGTAAAATGCCAGTGAGCTATGTTATATTTCGATTGGGCGCCCCCAGTTGTTTTGAGGTTCAAATAATGTTTAAAGGATAATTTTCAACAATAATTTACGCAGAAATGCACAGGAGATTCCCCCACAGAGATGCAGTGCAAGTCTCCAAACATAACATCACTCCGAATGATGATGGAGAGTGACGAAAACCTGACCTTTGGCTTCATCATGGACGGGGTCATCGAACTATTGGCATGGTCTGAGAACAATGAGGTCGAGCTGGAGTACTTTGAAGATCCAGTGTATGTCCCATTTGAGAATGGAGAGATGGAGAAAGATGGATCAACACTGACAATCATGGTTCGAGTTGCTGGCCTAGGGCGCCTTTTTGCCTTCTTTTTTCGTCTTAGTTTGCGTATTTTTCGATTAAGTGGAATCTTAGTTCACAATAACATATACCTGATGTGTCACTGTCAGCTGTCACGTATGCCCTTTACAATCCAGTGTAATTGAACCAAACACAACTTTTTTTGCTACACCATGTTGACTGGCTGTCCTTCTTCTTGCTACTTCCCTGAAACCGCGGTTGTCTCTCTAAGCCAGTATGAATCAGCCTTATGGTGAATTTGAAGTGTTGTTTACCAACAGTTGTTTCTCAAACAAATCTCAAGTAATATAACCGTATTTTGGCAACACGGATGCATATGCACTAGGCTATTGGTTACACTCTTGAGATTTTTCTAGATCATTAGAAATTTTTCTCAGTGTGGTACTTGCGATGGTTTTCAACTTAATTTCAAAGAAATTTAGGGGACTAATATCTTATGGTTAGAGTCTTTCTTTCTGGAAACGCCGTTAGGCTGAAATACTGTGATGATTGCAAATGAAATTGTTGTTTCAGGGTGAAAGGCTGGATAGTGCGATCACAGCCAAAGAAATACAAGTTAGGATTGGAAAAGACTTCTGTGAAGTCAACCTGGTCAGTGATACCGTCTTACAGTGCACTTTACCAAAGAATGAACCGGCTGCTGGGGACTTCAGAGGTGGAAACGTGGAGGAAGGCCTACCTGTGGTCTGGGTAAGTGTGTTGGTAGACCCAGGAAGCCTGCCTGTGGCCTGGGTATGTGAATTTAGAGGTATTACATATTTCAAATGGGAATTTTTACGGTTGAAATTAGGTTGAATATAGATTTCGTCTTTAAAACGACAGTCCAAGCTGTTTCTACCGTAAAAGAAATATCAGTCTTTTATGAAAAAAGAAAAGCAAGTACACGGTCTATAATTGTTGGGGAGTTGTTGTACAAAACAATAATGAAATTACTTTCTGAAAATGGGAATTTACTGTGATAAATACTTCCCATAGCAACATTATTTGGAATAGAAAAGAAATTTAGAGATTCCTTTTTCGGGAGGGGGAATTTGAGTGTCAGAAATGAAATTTAACTCCATGTTGTTTGACAGGTACTACACAATAACTTGGAGTTCGTTTTGGGGAGACTGATCTATCCCCGTTCCGTTCCCGTTGCTGCCACTGTAGCAGGTGTGCTTGTCTCTTTCTCCGTTGTTACACTCCTTGTCGCAGTTCTCAGTTATTTGAGGCAGTTACACCGAAAACGCACCCATGACCAACGACTCCTGAACCGAATCATGGAGGTCCATCTCGGTAAGTGAACCTCATTAAAGACTGAATTTTTCTCATGCACGCCTGCACGTTGTGTTCTATCCACGGCACTGTCACCGACGTTTTAAAAAAAACTTCATCCATGTCGAAGTGGAGATAGCTGCAAATATTTGCATTTTTTGTGAAAAGAAGGTTTTTAATGTATCAGAACACCATCCCCGCTGTTAAAGGGGAATCCAGGTGGGGCTTCTTTCACACTTACGAGTAAAGCTTTAAAGATATGTTTACTCCACCATTTTCAAGGTGGCACACGATAGTGTCGTTCAAACACCCCCAACGTATGATAGACATGCAACATTGCCTCGTCCAGATTTACCAGAAGGTTCAACTGATGGTAAACGCAATGGTATGATTTTGTCAGAGATGTCATCTAACGTCAAGAGGCGCTGGTGGCAGAGAGTCCAGAAACAGATGGACGAAGCGCCCACACAAACGCGCATTGTTCTGAGAAACAAAGTCAGCTATGTGCCCGACGAACTTCACATTGAGTTTCGCCAACTGGAATTGGGAAAGACACTTGGACAAGGTAGGGACCCTAATTTCTGGAGATGTCCATCGAAAATCGGACTTCTTGAACGTTTGAAACTGTTATGCGCATCTTGGCAAATAAGGGTTTTGTTTTGAGGTTAATAAACGAAGACATTGTTAATGCTACGGGCACTGAAAAAAACAAACGCTGATTGAAAATTAGCTGGATTGGAGTAAATAAAATTATTCATTGGCCTGCAGTCTTGAACTGAAGCAGCAACAAAAGGGAATAAAATACACAACAAAAATTGCAAAATTTCTGTCAAATTTTAGTACCAACTTAGTTTTCACACCGTGTTGTTGTTTTGCTTTGGTTTTTTTATGACATCACAGTTTTACCCATAAATGTGGCAATTTACATGAAGAAAATATCCCCCCAAAAAGCACAATGAAAATCCAAAATAGTCGACCAAAGCGGCATCTCTAAGAAATGCATTTATAATTTGGATTTGATTAATATTATATCAAAGGAACTGTATTGCCTCTTCGTGGAGCTTAGCTCACTGTTAATAATTCTAGTTAATTTGTACTCCGCTTGGCATGATTGGCAGGAGCCTTTGGACGCGTACTGCAAGCTGTTCTGCACAGTGAGGCAGGAGATCAAATTGTTGCAGTGAAAACAGTGCAAGGTTAGTGGTTAAAGTATTTGGCATCTGAAAAAATAATTCTGGACAGAAACAGTAGTCTCTTTTGTGACTGATTGTTCGCTGTGTAAAAGACTACAGGCTAAACTTTGTCATTTGCTTATGAAAT